TTCACAGCGGCAAAGGCAACGCCAGACTCCAGGGCCCAGAGACCCCAGGTGGCAGACAGAACAGGGATCGGGGGGGGGGTGCCACCTGGCTTGCACCCCCTCAAAATATCAGGTCATTCAACTCAGGATGTATTTGCACCACGTCTACCCCAGGGGTATTTACATTCCCACTTGGAACACATGCAGCAGGAGCAGTTGTGTTCAAGTAGCTCTTGGTTGTATTAAAAATATAAAAGTTTAAAAGGCAGCTCTTGGAATGCCTCGTATGATTCTGAGGAGGCGCACCTTCTAGTCTGGGAAGAAATGCCTGATTAGGTCTGGAGTTCTCACGCAGAGCATCTCAACAGTTAAGTTTTCCTGCCTTCCTTTCTTCTTTTACATTGTCTGGCTCCTTAAGCAGACCTTACAGAAGATCCTCCTGGTGTTGAAAACCTTGCTTGACCATTTCAACAAAAATAATCCTTAATTTTAAACATCAGCTTCAGAGGATTAGCTCCTTCTTCACTTTAAAACCTAGGCCTTGCTGCCAACATGACGCAAAGGTCGTACCCGTGTTGACGACTCAAACCAGCTGCCAAACAGACTCACACAGAGAGAGACAGAAGCAGGAGGGCTATCCCGTTTGTAGAAGAACGTTGTGGGATTGTTTCCAGCTTTCTGGTTTGCTATTTATGTTAAATTATGAGCTACTGTTGCTGCTGTTTCTACTATTTAGCATTACAGTGGTACCTCGGGTTAAGAACTTAATTCGTTCCGGAGGTCCATTCTTAACCTGAAACTGTTCTTTACCTGAGGTACCACTTTAGCTAATGGGGACTCTCGCTGCCGCCACCCCGCCACCGCACAATTTCTGTTCTCATCCTGAAGCAAAGTTCTTAACCCGAGGTACTATTTCTGGGTTAGTGGAATCTGTAACCTGAAGCATATGTAACCTGAAGCGTATGTAACCACTGTATTTTCATGTCAAAAATAGGTTTGGTTTTGTATAGAACAAAAAGCTGATGAGATGACAACCCTTGAGGGTAGTTTTGGGAGTTTGCTTGGTTTTGTTTAAAATCCAGCCAGGATTTACTGCAGGTAATAAAGCAAACAGGTGATGTCTCTCTCTCCCCCCCCCACGGCCGCCATATGCAATGATCCAGGAGGATCCAGAACAGTGGAGTAGTGAAAAGGAGCTGTGCAATGGTATAGTCCAGGGTTTCCCAACCTTGGGTCTCCAGCTGTTGTTGGACTACAACTCCCATCATCCCTAGCTAGCAAGACCAGTGGCCAAAGATGATGGGAACTGTAGTGTGGTGTAGTGGTTAAGATGGTGGACTCGTAATCTGGTGAACTGAGTTTGCTTCCCTGCTCCTCCACATGCAGCTGCTGGGTGACCTTGGGCTAGTCACACTTCTCTGAAGTCTCTCAGCCCCACTCACCTCACAGAGTGTTTGTTGTGGGGGAGGAAGGGAAAGGAGAATGTTAGCCGCTTTGAGACTCCTTAGGGTAGTGATAAAGCGGGATATCAAATCCAAATTCTTCTTCTTCTTCTAGTTCAAAAACAGCTGGATATCTAAGGGTGGGAAACCCTGGTATAGTCAATCCAGTGTTCTCTTGCTGATGTTCTTGCACAGGCTCAATCCTGCTATCTCCCTGCTCTGCCCCTGCACCATCCTAGCAAATGGCAGTGACACCAGCATCAGGAGGGAGGTTCCACAGCACCAACCCACCGTGCCAGCCACACTGGCAAATATCCCAATTTATAAAGGTGCCAGGTTCCTTTACCTTTAAGAGTAAAGGTAAAATTCCACCGTATATATGTACACTCATGAAAATAGCATGGTAGGATAGGGACATTCCATGGTTAAATTCTCGTTTATATTCAATTCTTAAAAGAACCTTCTGGAGTTTGGATCTAGAAAGCCTGCTGCTTCCCTCCAAAACGAAAAACGTCTTTCAGAAGTGTCTGCGATATGGATGCATAAAGACTATAAGGAGAGAATTTGGTCTGTTTTCCTGGCTCAGGTTGAGGGATTTCCATGGAAAATCTGTTTTTCTCTCAGACTCTGGCTTCTCTCATTAGTTACCTTGCTTACTTCTATTCTAGGCCCTGGGTATCATTACAGGTTTGGGATATTTTCAGGCATGAATTCTGCTTGCTTTATAGTCTAAATGTATCATGAACTCTTAGTCTTAAAGAGCTCTACTATGGCATATGCAATTGTACTTAACATCACAGCACATCATAGGTTTTGTAGTCTTAAGGCCACATTAGAGATGAATCCTGCGTGAATCTGCCCCCATCTCAGAAAACTCCATTTCTGAAGAAGTGTAGCGGCAACCTAAGCACTTTTCATACATTACTTGCATGAATGAGTGACCAAAATGGTGGAATGGTACCCGGGGTCCCACCCCATATCCCACCCCATATCCTCACAACCCTTTCAACTCTTTCTTCTTTCCAAAGCACCAAGCATGAAGTCTGCAGTGCCCTTTGCACTGCAGTTCCCAAGTACCCAACAGCCAGCTTGGGAACCTAGCCCAATGGTTTTTGACAGGTGGATGCCAAACCCACTTGCCCACATAATTACACCATGTGGGTGGCAGGTCAATTGTTCCATCCAGTGACATAGCATAGGTTACCAGCTCCCGGGGCCACGTGGAGGGGGGTGGGTACAAGGGAGGGAAACGGGTAGAGTATGCGTGCACGTTCAACTGCATAATGGTGTCCGCGTCACTCAGGAGATTGCAGCCACAGAGATAAGAAAAGAAGAATTGTTCTGTTGTCTGGAGACGTCGCTTCCTGGTTCACATGGAGCTGTTTTCAGTGGAGCCCAGCAAAGGAAGCACATGACTGTATTGAGGTTGAAATTTTGTGCCCCTAATAATTTTACACCCGGGGCAACTGCCCCTGTGGCCCCCCCACGCTATGCCACTGGCCCCACCCACCTGTCAAATTTGGCTTGTGGGGTGGAGCCAGATAAAGAAGTCTCCCCACTTCTGCACCAAAAGGTTGAGTTTATAAATACATCAACACTGTGACCTAAATCGCCGAGTGATTTAGAAAGAAACCTTGAAAAATAAGAAACTGCTATGCTCAGTTTTCTATACTGAGTGCTTCAGACTGAAACCAACACAGGACTGCTTATTGCAGGATGAATGAATACAGTGTACAGCAGGTGGTGAAGAGTTTTCTCCTGCAATGTGGAACAGTACATGAGGGGGTGTACTTAGGCGGTTAGTCTTGGTGTGAGAAGTGGGAGCATGCACTTTCTGTAGGAGTGTCCCTAATTTTTTTTTCATCTGTCAAATGTTGGTGCCCACCCTGTTCTCCTGCATTGCTTAAGAGTATTGACTTCGTTTTATTTATATCTTTTGTCATCTGGCTCTTGCTGACCCACAATTTATTAATTACTACCCCCCAGAAAAAGTCAAAATGTTGCGGTACAAGTGACATTTGGGTTCCAATGCCTGGATAACACATGGATCAATGATGGTATGGGAAATCATCCTAAATGTATTGCCTGTGTTCAGATGTGTTTTAATTTTAAATCTTGGATGCCGTCCCTATTTAAATAGCCAACTGCTCTGCTCTGCCACGACCTTCAGTCTCAATACTGATGGAAGGAAGGCAGACAGGAAGGAAGGAACAACGAGGCTCAGCTGCATAAAACAGTCTACAATAACACTTTTACCTAAAAATCCCATGAACAAACTGCCATGCTTTTTGTTGTGTTCATACAATAGTTTTTCGTGCAGTTTTCATAAACAATAAGCATTCTTTAAATTTCCTACTTTCTTTCTTAAGAAACAACAACACCTTAATGTGATCAAAGTCACCAGGATACCATAATTCTCCCCTTTTGCTTTGTCTGCTTATTATTAACTTTTCCCCTTAAATATCACATCTGACAAAGCACCAATGGGAACTATTGCGTGGACAGGCAGAGTCCCCAGATCCCGAGCGGTCCCCCCCCCCATCATGTGGAATAACGACTCAAGACAACGTGCTATGGGATTAAATTGGCCACAACTTTATTAAATTTCAAATGTGGGTAGACCTTGGCTCAGGCATTGGGCGTTCTCCCTCCCCAGTCCCCAGCCGGGGACCTAGGGAGCTTGAGGGTTATCCAGTGTGTGTGGGGGGGGGGATGAGCCGGCTCTGGAGAACATATGTTCAAGCAGAGATAGCTGCCCCCGTTACGCCGCCGCCGCAGGGGAGAGCAATGACGACCTTTCGGCGTACGGTCAAAGCCTCCCTTCAGAAACCCCTTTAGCGGGGAACCCTGGTATCGCCGCCGCAAAGAGGAAGATGGACTAAAGGATTCCGCCCAAGGCCTGATACCGCCAAAGTTGTGACGTTTTGCTACAGGAAAGGTGAAACCTGCCAATGCAGGGAAATTCCTTTCCAGCCCTTTAACAGCGACCTTAACGTAGCAGCGCCCGCATACCTGTGAAGATAAGTTAACCTGCAAAAGAAGACATTAACTGAGGGTGAGTCCGGTGGGAGAAGCTCTGGAGCCAAGTGAGGATTCCCACATAAGATCCTCCCTCTATTGTGTGGGCAGGTAATCCCTCCCCTACCTGGCCTGGTCTCCTTGGCAACGCTTCCCCCAGGTGGGATTGGACAACTGACTGAGGTAGGCGGAGACCTCCAGGTATCCCACCTGAGGGCAGGCAAAGCCAAGCCTATGCTGATGGGGCCGCTCCAGATCTAGGGCTGCACGCGTCCATGCAAAGGGCGCCCCCCGTTTTAAGCGGGGAGCGGTCATTCTAAGAGGATTGTGAATCTGTGCTAATGTGCAACAAAAAATAACTGAGCACTTAAGTCTTATTTATATTACAGTCGTACCTTGGAAGTCAAACAGAATCCATTCCGGAAGTCTGTTTGACTTTCAAAAAGTTCAGAAACTAAGGTGTGGCTTCCGATTGGCTGCAGGAAGCTTCTGCAGCCAATCGGAAGTCACAGAACCTGCGTCGGATATCCGGGTTCCAAAGAACGTTTGCAAACCAGAACACTCACCTCTGCGGCATTCGGGAGCTAAAAAGTTCGAGTCGCAAGGCATTCAACCTTCAAGGTATGACTGTATACACTATTACCAAATTACGTCTGCTGGGTGAATTCCAAATGCTAATGTGAAGAATCAACAAGGCTGAGCCCCAATACAGTGGTGCCCCGCAAGACGAATGCCTCGCAAGACGGAAAAACCGCTAGACGAAAGGGTTTTCCGTTTTGAAGTTGCTTCGCAGGACGAATTCCCCTATGGGCTTGCTTCGCAAGACGAAAATGTCTTGCGAGTCTTGAGATTTTTATGTCGCTGTTCCCCCCCTGGATCTAATCTGCTAAGCCTATAATAGCCTTTAATAGCCTTTTAGCAGCTAATCCCCTCAGCCTTTAAGCCTTTACTAGCCGCTAAACAGCTGATAGCGCTAATAGCGCTAATCCGTCAATGGGCTTGCTTCGCAAGACGAAAAAACCGCTAGACGAAGACTCTTGCGGAACGGATTAATTTCGTCTTGCGAGGCACCACTGTATTCCTCAAGTTCACTTTTCAGTTTGAAAGTAATGATTTCATCATGAGGACTAACCTCCGCAACCACTAATCCTGCCTTTTTGGGGCTGTTCACTGCTGTTCTCAACTGTTTTCTCTTAACGTGTGTGTGTGTGTGTGTGTGTGTGTGTGTGAGAGAGAGAGAGAGAGAGAGAGAGAGAGAGATTAGTGGTGGTTTACTGCCTTCCCTTTTCCTGGGCTCAGCTTTATTAGCCATCAGGATTCCACAGCATCCATTGGATTCAGAACTGCACCATATATTTCCTGTTGGATGGATGTCATCTCTCATACAGTGGTACCTCGGGTTACAGACACTTCAGGTTACAGACGCTTCAGGTTACAAACTCCGCTAACCCAGAAATAGTACCTTGGGTTACGAACTTTGCTTTAGGATGAGAACAGAAATCGTGCTCCAACGGCGTGGTGGCAGCGGAAGGCCCCATTTGCTAAAGTGGTGCTTCAGGTTAAGAACAGTTTCAGGTTAAGAACGGACCTCCGGAACAAATTAAGTACTTAACCCGAGGTACCACTGTACACATTTTATTTCAGATTAACAAATTTGGAAGATGGGGCTCAATGGTCACCAACTACCACGGCTCTCCTCTTCCTCCATGGTCAGAGGCAGTAAAGCTTCTGAATGTCAGTTGTAGGAAACAGCAGGAGGGGAGAGCGCTCTTAGAATAATAGAAACATAGAGTTGAAAGGGACCGTGAAGATGACTTTGTCCAAGCCCCTGCAATCTTTTGCCCAATGTGGGTCTGGAACCCACTACCCTAAGATTAAGAGCCTCGTGCTCTACTAACTGAGCTATCCCTCAGGGCAATGAGATTGTCAGCAAAAATGCAGACTGCCAAAGAGGTGATTTGCTGAATGAAAGACAGAACACTCACATCCAGCACTGAATGTCTCACAAGAGTTGCCTGTCTATCACTGGCATGGTATCTGAAGAAGTGTGCATGCATACGAAAGCTCATACTAATAACAAACTTGGTTGGTCTCTAAGGTGCTACTGGAAGGATTTTTTTTATTTTGTTTCTGTCTATCACTTTCCCTGATGAATTTGAGATACCAAAATAAGATCTCTTTATTTGCCTAGCCTTTTAAAAGGTAAAGGGACCCTTGACCATTATTAAGGAGCAGTTATTATGTGTTATGAGGTTAGATGACACTTTGCTGTTGTGATTGCTGTTTCATTTACATTTTATCGTGTGTTTTTGTTCTGGCTTGTCACAAATTGTTGTTATTATTTATAATTATTAATTGATTTACTGTGTTTTATTGTTAGTGACTTTGAATATATATATAAATTCTGCATTACATTTGCCTTAATTTCTGTGCATCACAAAAATTAGAACTAGAAGGTTGTCCATCCTTTAGACCGAGGGTATCTCTGGGAATTAGCGATTGTATTGTCTGCCTTTCCTGGCTATACAAAGAGGAGATGTACAAATATGATGGCCAATTTCATAACTGTACATGTTAACCATCCAGGTTTTACTGGCGCCGGCAATATGATCTGTCCACTCACCAGTTTATATTTTTCTCTGCACGTCTTAAGCATCGGCTGTTACTTTATGCCAATCCTGCACTCTGCTGCAAACAGAGAAGATTTTTAACCCAGAACTCCATCCAAATCTTTATTCCCTCATATACTTTTTTTTTTTTTTTTAGGAGAAAAGGTCAGCGTATTCCAGTGAACTGACGTACTCTGTCTAATTTATGCACCAAGAAGCTTAAAAATGTGCGTCATTTGACCATTTTCCATTTGTTCATGCTGAGATTAAGAGATGGGGCTTATTGTTGAGCTTATAGTCAAAATTACAACTAAGAGAAAAAAAGGGTTAGAGGGGATCAGTAGCTGCAGCTGGCCTTTGATTTATTTAGTGCTGCCCAGTGTTGGGTGCACCGAATGAGGAAGCTTGAAGACAGCAACTTCGCAGAGCCCTGTAATTGTTAACTATTCCAAGAGAAGATGATTCTGATCTAAGTGAACAGCAGAAATCTGAATGCTAAAACTGGCCAACCCACAGCCAAGAAATCTACGTAGCAATGGCTGTGAACATTCGTGTTTGTTTAAGAGATATTTTCTGCTTTCTGTAAACCTCAGCATATTTTCCTTGGCTAAATCACAGTGCTGACTTCCTGCAACGTGAGTGATAGCTGGGTGAGGGAAAGGTGATGAGAATTCTGTACTCCACTCAAAAGGAAGACTGTTTCACTAGATAACTTTCTTGGATTCTGGTTTATTTGGAGGGACAGGCAATTCACCTGTGCTAATACTAAACCCCCATCATTACTTGGTCACAGCCCTGGCTATGCAAAAAGCTAACCAAAGTAAAATGTACCAAAATATTTACAGGTCTGGGATTTGCTGAGGCATTAGGGGAATGAAGTTTCCCCTTTACAACCATCAAGAATGCCTCTCTATTTGATTTTGTTGTTTAGATGTGTCACATAACCTCCAAGATTTCTCTGATGAAAATAGGGACATCCTATTCCACACCTTCCAAAATACCTTCCGCGCATAAGTGAAAATTGCGTAAGTGGGAAGCACTCTCTAAACCCTTTAAACAACTTCTCTCCCACTCTCTCTCCAATCCAGACCAAAAGTGCTGTATCCCAAAATATCCACAACTAGAATTGAAGTTCTGGGGCCAGCTGAAGGCTGGAGGATGTGCAGAAAAGCAACTCTTGCTGCTGCGCTACCACACATATCAGCTGCTAGGCGGGGAGGCTGAGCAGCGTAAATAAAGCCCTACTGTGCCTCCGGTCTCTTTAGGGATTACTCCACCCTCATTGACGTCCTCTTTGGGCTCTGGGGAGTGTCTTCTCACGAGCTACAAGGACTCTCCAGCTCTCTCCCACCATTTCCAGTTTTGAATTGAATTTGTTATATATTTCCTGGCACAGCTTGTATAAGCAGTTATGCGCAAGTTGACTGTATGTAGGTGGATGTCTGTACAGTGGTACCTTGGGTTACATATGCTTCAGGTTACATACGCTTCAGGTTACAGACTCCACTAACCCAGAAATAGTACCTCGGGTTAAGAACTTTGCTTCAGGATGAGAACAGAAATTGTGCGGCGGCAGCAGCGGGAGGCCCCATTAGCCAAAGTGGTGCTTCAGGTTAAGAACAGTTTCAGGTTAAGAACGGACCTCCGGAACAAATTAAGTACGTAACCAGAGGTACCACTGTATTGTAAGTAGTATAAAAACTTTGGCTCCGTTTTTTGGAGGTTGGAGTGTGTATGTTGAAGGCCTCTGTTCTTATTCCCCAGCCTATTTTCCTGGTTTGAACGCCCCTCAAACATCCCTTCCTTTTCCATTTGTGGCTGCAGACCAAAGCAAGCCACCTTTGGCTTTGTGCACCAGAGATTTCACCCGCAAACATGCACATGGCTTTCCAAACCACCAGCATTCTTGCAGTTATGTCATCCCCACCCCCCACCCCACCCCTCCGTCACAGAGTAAAGTGTGTCCTATCCTGAAATGAAGAGAACAAAACTGTGTCAGCAGCATACAGAGCTGTAATCTGACAGAACTGCCTTTGTCTGGCTCCAAATCCTCGTGCCAGATGAAAAACACGCAGCTGCCTTGATGGATGGTTGCTAGTGGAGGAAAAACGCATTTTACCAGCTCTGTGCAATCCTGGAACAGACAGAGTACAGTATCTCAACGTATCAGGATGAAAATGCTATTAAGGCATCGATCACATATTGTGCCAATTTCCCAGCATTAGTGACTACTACGCTAAATGTTATCTTTTTCTAAGAAGAAAGGATTTAATCATTTTATATTGACTGAGGGAGATTACAGGTAATACTGTAAATCCTTAACAACCACACATGATATACTAGGCTGTTTCGCCTACTCTTTCTCTTTTTGCTGCATCATTCCAGAAAGATTTCAGTCATATCATACAAATTCCCACCTACTACCCACCCCACACTGCTTCCAGTTAATAAAGACCGTTTCTGGTGTTGCTGTTAAACCGCTATGGTCAATAACTCAACACTGTCAAAAAATCAAAAGCAGTCAACAGTTCAAGATTTCCCTGCTGCTTTTGCCATGGGATACTAATTTCTGTTTTGTTTACGTTTCTCATGCTTCCATATAGGACCAGGTCACACAAGGCCTTACCATACATATTAAATACCCAGGGTGAGGAACCTTTTCCGCTTTGAGTTCCAAAAACACTTATTTGGGTTCAGCCCTACAATCTGACCACGGCAGATGGGAGTTGGAGTCCAGCATCCTCTGCGGAGCCACAACTTCCTCATCCCTGTTTAAGAAATCACTGAGCTGATTTATTTGAATCATAGAATCATAGAATTGGAAGGGACCCAGGGGTCATCTAGTCCAACCCCCTGCAATGTAGAAATCCCAACTAGATCATACATGACAGATGGCCATCCAACCTCTGCTTAAAAACCTCCAGGTGTCAGGTACTGGGCAGAGGAGGAATGGTGGAGACCGCCTCCCCATCCTGACCCTTCCAGGGAGAAGGAAGAGAAAGGCAGTATAGATTTACAACAGGGGTTTGAGGGAGGTCACAGCTCAGAGGCAGATGAGGGGGACAGCTGGGGAATCATGGGAGAACCAGAACACCTGGCTGACACATTGTCATTAGAAAGCATTCCAGACCCACCATCTCCCAGAATCCGGCAAGCCTTAAAAGTAGGAGAGCAAAGAGCTCAAAGACAGATGGCATGCCACAGCACCCGGAGAGGAGACGATGAGGAGAAGGAAGTGGGATAAATGGGGGGTAGAGATTCACTCGGTACAACGCCATTATCCAAGAGGCTGGGTCCTATAGCCTTTCTCTGTAAAGACTGAAATAAAAAAGGACGGTGAGTAACTTTTCCTTATCTATATGCTTTCCTGGGCAACCACCTGGGAGCCACTGACAGCATCCTGACACCAGGGAAGGAGAGTCCACCACTCACACATGGGGATGCAGCAAAATGTGGCAGTTTCAGGGGAAATTAGCTGGTGGCTTGGAAAGCTGCATGGTCCACACTGAAGGCTGTATGCAATGCAAAGTTGGAGTTTGCCAGCTTCTGTAGCTCTAATTACCATATTTGTCGCTCTATAAGACACACCAGACCACAAGACGCACCTAGTTTTTGGAGGAGGAAAACAAGGGGGGGGGGGAATTCTGAATCTCAGAAGCCAGAACAGCAAGAGGGATTGCTGTGCAACGAAAGCAGCGATCCCTCTTCGTGTTCTGGCTTCTGGGATAGCCGTGCAGCCTGCATTTGCTCCATAAGACGCACACACATTTCCCCTTACTTTTTAGGAGGGAAAAGTGAGTCTTATAGAGCAAAAAATACGGTATATGAAAGTGGAGTCATCAACAGAATGAAGGGAGATAAAGGGTTGCATTGGGCCCAATGATGTTGTTACCTGCAGGTGCACCATTGTTTTGAATAATTTCTCAGACATTACTTTGGCTCCTGCTCCTATTGTATTGGCACATGAAAGGCTTTGTCCTTCATATATCACACTAATATTTGCTTTCATACTAGCTCAAATAAAAGCACTGGGAGCCTGTTTACCTCAGATTGTGCTCATATCGCAATTAAGGCTATTTGCTTTTGATTGATGTTCAATGTTAAAGTCAGCGTAGGAAGGACAAAAGTGTTATCATAATAGCTCCGTTAAAATTTGTGAAAGATACAGGCCATGTGTTTCTATTTACAAAAGCTCTATATTTTGACGTGGAAGGGGGAAACTGCTACTAGGGGCAATGCTAATCACGAAAATGTATTTGGACTAGCTTGAGAAAAGGAACTCGAACGCTCGGAGATTAGGACCTGGGAAGCTAAGGTCATATATCAGCCATGAGTAAGCTTTGGGCAAGCTTCTATCTTCTCGCATCAGCTCTCCATACATGACATGAATAATGATGGCCGGCTTCATCTGTGGGATGAAGGAAAGCAAAGAAACGCTTTGCCATGTTGAATCATCAACACTGAATGCTAAGTCCAGAAAAATTCCCCAACTTCCTGCTTTGATGGCTTCTCCACTTGTTCTGACAGTGATCGCACGGGATCCTGTTGCTCACAGACAAACACTCTGAAGTGAGCACAGCTTCTGCTTCCGATAGATTGCAATTTAATGAATGAACAAAACCAGAGGCCTTTTCCAATACAGTGGTACCTTGGTTCTCAAACTTAGTCCGTTCCGGAAGTCTGTTCCAAAACCAAAGCGTTCCAAAACCAAGGTGTGATTTCCAATAGAAAGTAATGCAAAATGGATTAATCCGTTACAATAAATAAATAAATCCATTTTTTAAAAACCCTAAAACAGCAATTTAGCATGAATTTTACTCTCTAACGAGACCATTGATTCATAAAATGAAAGCAATAATCAATGTACTGTACTAGACAATAAATAAGACAGTATTGTGGATGATGAAAATTAAAATCATTTCTTTTTCTTACTTGCTCTGATGATAGTCATTGTCAAAGCTGCCAATAAAAGAAAAAATGAAGCATTTAAAATTTTCAACAACAACAACAACAATAATAATTTATTTGTACACCACTCATCTGACAGGGTTGTAAAGACAGTTAAAGACAGGATTTTTTTTTATAAATGCAAATATAATTAAAATCAACAAAATGTTTATTTAAATATATTTTTGACATTTATTGTCATATTATAACTTTTCCTAGCAAGTAATATCTCTTGAGCCTTCAATGAATACTGTCCCCTTCAAAGCATCATGAAGCAAAGCAGCTAATGGATACAGAATTAAAACTTTAATGCTGCAGAACTTCAGAGAGGGCTGCTCAAGTAATAAATACTTTAACAATCTTCAAACAGCTGGGCAAACGAACTTGCTGCCAAAATTATAAAAATTGTGCATGCCAAGTGTGTTTCCATACAGAAGTCCTTCAATATATATAGGACACCATCACTGAGAAGACCCCTTTCTGCCTTGTTGAACTGCGTACATCTCCTGCAAGTAAAAGGCATGTAAAAGCATATCTGAAAATTAATGAACAATACTCAGCATTAGATCAATATAAATAATGTTGCCTAAGCTGTGCAGCTGTACTGCTATTACTGTGGAGATTTGAAGGAACTCTGAGAACAAAGATGTTTCTACTTCATTATGGCAGCTATTTGTAGCCATGTCTATGTAAATGCTTTTAAGTCAGTT